CCATACGGCCAAGAGAAGAACCAAGAGCCCAGCAAATGGCCAGACTTGCCAGGGCTGCAAGGCAGACCAGAGCAGGTCCCTCCAGGATGCACCACTCTGCATCAGCATGAGCTGCTCCACCTCCCGCTCCAGCCAAATCCTCTCCTGTTCCTGGAACTTTGCACGCAGCTCCATTTGCAGACGCATCACCTCATCCAAAACATCACCCATGGGCTGCGGGTACTGGACTACACTTAGCAAGAACAACAACAACAATACCCAGGAATCCATGGTCTGCAGGAGGATGGAGAGAATGTTTTGAGGGAAGTGGGGAGGGAGGCAGCTGGCAGTGGGGGCAGCAGGGATGGGAATTCCAGTGATATGAAGGCAGGAAGGACAGGGCCCCAGAGAGCTGGGGGCAGAAAGGCCTGTCCCACTGCCCCAGCAGCAGCAGCAGCACTGTACCATGGCCAAGGCTCTGCCATGAGGGGCTGTCCCTGCATGCAGAGGGAGAACCCTGCCTTGGGTACAGCATTTATGCCTGGGCCCTTGTCCCCAGCACGGCCTTCCCGTCACATAAGCACTTACCACTTGCCCAAGCAATACAGGCCCAGTCTTACATGCTGGGGCCTTTTCTAGCTGCCCCCATTGTGACACATCCCCATGATGTCACAGGTACCACAGCACATCACAACCCAGCCAGCTCCACTCTTTGTCCCCACCCCAGCTCAGCCACTCAGAATGGCCCTGGTGTACTGGTTAGGGCTGCTTTTGAGTGAACCTTCTTCAAAGAACTTCCCTTGGTCTTTCTTTTGTCTTTCTTTCCAGCTGCCTCCATTGGCAGTCTCATAGATATTCATGTTGGAAGGCAGCCTTGGGGATCATTGAGTCTAAGCCTTGACTCCACACTGGTTGAGCTACCCTTAAATCTCTGCATCATCGAGGTTGAAAAAGTCCCTGAAGATCACACAGTTCAACTGCAAACTTAACACTTCCTACTCCATCAATCAGTCAGGTCCCCAAATGCCATATGCGCATGAGTTCTAAACCTTTCTGAGGGTGGTGACTCAGCCATTGCCCTAGGTAGCCTGTTCCCAAGCTTGATATCCTTTTTGTTGAATATTTCCTTGAGATCCAATCTAAATCTCCTGTGGTGCAGCTTGAGATAATTTCCTCTGGTCATATTGTTTGTTCCCTGGGCTAATATAATAAACCCCACTTAGCTACAACCTCCCTTCAGGGACCATCTGCATCTGTCAAGTGCAGATGGTTGAGCTGTGAAACCAGCTCCTCCCAGAGGAGAGAAAGATGCTGCTTTTACACTGTGGTTCCTGTGATCAAATGCCTGTGGGAAAAAATGAGTTCTTGGTGGTCAGAAGTTTCAGGAAATGTTTCCATGTGAGGAGAACCTTTCTGCCAACTGAGGGAATCCATACCCTGCCAAGCAGAAGGAAAAATCATAACTCTCCTTGTAGAAAATGTGAAGGTTTGGAGTGAAAGTCCAAAGAACTGGAATGCTGAAAGTCCAAAGTGCCAGGATATCCTTGTGGATTCCACTAACCTGCAAGGCCAGACTGTGAAGATGGGATCCTGGAAGCCAAGAAATGCCCTCTTGCTCTGGGGCCTTCCATGGCACTGGCAGCACAAGTGAGAGTCTTTCCTCAGCCTTTGCCTTGAGGAAGGCCCTGGTTTGGGCAAAGCCTGAATTCCCCAGTTCTCCTGCTAATGACCCCAGGCTCACTAAGGCTGGTTGGTCTCAGCCCAGGCAAGAGCAGAAAGAAGCCCTTGCCTGGCTTCATAGTCCCCTGAGATGAGCAAAGACAAGGAGTGTGCAGAGAAGAGGCCATCAGAACTGCACAGCAGCGTCTCTCAGCTGTAAATCACAGAAAATTTAAACACTAAAGTTATGGTTTGGGTTGTGTTTTGTTTGGAGCCTTTTCCCCCACAGGAAATCCTGTTACATTTTCTATGTTGCATACCTGGATTTGAATGGTCCACTCTCGGTGCTGCCTAGATCGAACTCAAAATTCTTCCTTTGCCCCTCTCTTTCCTCTTTTATGAAACACCATTTCCAGGGGTTGATGGGTAACACCATTTCTCTTTTCTCATCTTGTGCTCAGGAACTGGGAGAGCTGCCGATCCCCCTCCCCTGCCCCAGTTTGACCCTAAAAGGTTTCTGCAGTAGGGTAACATGGTCATGTTTCCAATGGCTCAGCTGCCAGCACCAGTGGCAGATCCCAAATCTCATTCCACCACTGCAGGAGTTCTCTGCCCCTCATCTTGTCCAGATCTGGAGCTCATTTAAATGTTGGGGTTTTTATCTAGCTGCCTGAATAAATAAACAATCCTATGGCAAAGGGAGCTTGAGGCTGTAATTTAGGGATCAAGCAGCAGGTAGGGGCAGGACTGGTTTAAGGTAAGCTAACTAAGGTAATCTAACTACAGGTGTCATGGAAAGAGGCAGTTGTGCCATCCTATTTAGCTCTGTGTTGTGCCACTTCCATTAGTTTTGGGATCTAACTCATTTGGAAGGAATGTGCGGCTTTCTTTTTTGTTTTCTTTTTTTTTTTTAATTGACAAGATTAATTATGAGAGTGAACAGGTCCCACATCCTGTAGATCGCGTGGCTGTACAAATAGGAGCATGGTTACTGAATCCAAGGGCTCTGAGTTACATCTGCCTCTAATCACTCCCATGCATTCATTTGCATGTTCTGCTATGCCTTACAGTTTCCTATCACGTGCTAATTGATTCATTACTTTGTGCTAAGGATACAGTCACATGCTAGTCATTAACTGTCCCATATGTTGAACTCATGATATATATGTTTAAATATTGTATCTCCTTGTCTGCCAATCCTCCTTTATGTAACACCACACGTATGTTGGAGACCTTCAGACTTTAAACTTCCTGCTCGTTAGTTTTGTGTATGATTTGTCCGTTACTTTTTGGAGCTCCTCCTTATTTCAGTTGTGCAACAACGGTAATTAAAGCTGCTGAGGCATAATAAGTGCTTTAGCACTTATTAGAGGGGATGGAAAGAGTTATTCAAAACAACCAATGTCATCACAAACCCTATGTACAGTTGAAGTTATGTCAGACCACAGAAGTTTTGCAATAGGTAAAACTTCGTAACTTGCTCAGAAAATGTCACTCTGGCAAACAAAATGTAGCTGGGAGGAGGCTGAGTTCCTGTAATCTTTCTGCTGAGGAAGTTCACAGGTCAGAAATGAGAAAATATGGCAAGAAGGGTGTGTCACTCTCAAAATCCCAACCTGCAGAATTTTAGAATAAAGACTTTAAAGAATCCAGGGATGCACTGGAGTTTTAATTTGTACAGGAAGAAGATGGGCTTCTTTTGGTATGACTATTTTACACAGCACACTCACAGAAACAAGCTGACTTGAGCACACTTGTGTGCAGAACAAAATAAAAAGGTTCTCCAGAGGTATTTCTACTGTATGTTTGAGATGACAGGGTACAGAATTTTATCCTTTGTACCTGTAGTCCTAATGTAACACAGTTTAAGGTTCTACTATATGAATGCCCACCATCAGCATGGGGTAGACAGATCTGTGGAATTCAGACCAGCCACATTTCATACATTGTTCATTGCAGGAACTACTGGTCTGGGGGGAAATAGCTGTACCCTCACTGGCTTTTATCTTCCAAGCCCCAAAAGGAGCAGCTGAAAGTCCTGTTGCATGTAGATAAAACACAGCAAGTAAAGAGACTGGGATTAAGATCTGGGTAAAAGGTGTCTCTCCTAGGAAAAGCTAGTGCTTATGCACAGTATGTTGTGTGCCAGGAAGCAATCCCAGTAGAAAAGGAGGCAAATAGTCTTGAGTAAGAGCTTGTCAAACACCTGGCCTGGGCTATCTTAGCAGCTGCTCTCTGCATGCCTCCTGCTTGGGCAAAGCCAGGCACAGAGTGATTTCTTTCCCACTTGGCACTCTTGAAATTCCCAATTTCCTGAGCACAGATTCATCCTGGAGCGTAAACCCTACGGCTGCAGCTGGGCAGACACAAGCACTGCTGATGTACCACTGTCTGCAAACCACTGCACGAGTGGGCTCTGGGTGTCTGGCTGTTGCCCCTAACATGGACTCCTTACCAGGTGTGCAATGCCAATTCACACACAGAGGAGAGGAATCTCTATTTCTTTATTCTAGTTTGTGCAGAGTAAGGAGTTAGGTGGTAACCCACAAAACACTAGCTCCCTAGTCACCAAAACTTTACATTATTTATACGTTTTAGCAAACAAAAGTATCAGTATTCATTGGCTAGAAGTTGCATAGTTCTCTCATTAATAGTATTATATTTTCTTAGCTCAGTTTGGTCAGAGCATGGTGCTGATAACACCAGGGTTGTAAGCTCAATCTCCATATGGGTCATTAACTTCAGAATTGGACCTCTTGATCCTTGTGAGTCCCTTCCAATTCTGAATATTCTGTAATTCTAGTGGTTGTGACCCTCTTGCTTATGTTAATTACTCCACATGTTCAGTCTCCTCCTCCTCTTGAGTCAGTGGGTTTCTAAACTTCGTGGCGTGTGAGTCAGTGTTTTCACTCTGCCCCTGACAAAATCACCTTTCACCCAGTTGGCACTTTAGACTGATGAGTTGCCCCTGTGTATTCCTCCTTGTGGCCCTATCTTGGGCATTCTGCCAAGCATCCTTGTGATCTGTTAGTTCAGTATTCCATTGTGACTGATTTCAATACATATATAATCCTAAATTCCTTTTTTCCTAGTCTTTCTCAACGGCTGCAGCTACTGAGGCATATGAAGTGTATAAACAGGGTTTATTGATATGTAATTAATAAATTTGGAAACCCAACATCACAGGGACCACTGTGCTTAACCGGGGAGGGGTCTTGCCCAGGTCCCCGAGGAGGTGCCACCCCCTGCTAGCCCCATGCAGCTTTCTGGGTGTTTCCTGAGAGGAAACTCCCAGCCTCAGCGCCTGCACCAGCTGCCTCTGGCTTCAGCCCGCCCCTGCATGCCTTATTGGATTCCCGGCCGAGGGGGTGTTGCAGCCGCGACAGCGACAGGGCGTGCGGGCGCTGATATGCCGGAGCTGCGGAGCGTTGTATAAGAAGGAGCTGCAGGGAGCGGAAGAGAATTAAACGGGACCACGTTTATCTTTTGTGAGCTGGAGAGGTTAGTGGCTATTACTTAATCCCTGCTACCTGTAATTAGGATTTGGAAGCAGAGCTTTCGTTTTCTGTTCCTCGCCTCCCCAGGATTGCTCGTTACCGGCGTTTCCCCCTCGGTTGTAGACGATTGGGGGAGTCCTGCAAGTCACGTTGTCCTGGCTGCTCCAAAGACACCCTCCACACCAAAAGGGACGGGCCATCACTTGGGGACGGGGAAGCAGAGGGAAAGGAAAAAAGGGGAAAACCCTTTGTTTGGAATAATGTCCAGTTGCAGTGAAGCAGAGTACTAGCCTGTAAATTACGTGGAAGTAGCATCTTCGAGTGGCCAGGGCACTGCATAGTGCGAGTGTGAGAGGTCATATAAAACCTTTCCTACAAACTGGACTTCTTTTTAGAAGTGCTGAGCTTCCTTCCAGTCCTGTGAAAATCCACGTTTACTGTAGCTATTTGATGCTCCCTTCTGAAACACCAAACCGTCAAGCAGGCTGTACGTCAGTTTACCCATGTGTAAAGTGAGGATGAGAATAATTTCCTTTCATGAAGGGACATGGTGGGGCCATATTTCAGACAGCTTTTGGTGGGAGAAAGATGATTTTTGTGTTCTGAGATATAGTACAGAATATGTGCATAAAACACATTGACAAATACTTTATGTTCTAGTCACAGCTATCACTTATCTCTATGTAAAAAAAATTAAAAAGATGCATCAAGGGCTCAGTCTGCACACAGTGAAAAGACAAGCTCAGCCTTTATATAACTTTTGGCATCCTGCTGAACTTTTGTGTTGGAGCTTGTTAAAAAACCCTAAACAACCAGTGTTAATTAGGGCAACAGTTTAATTAACTGATTTTACCCCATTTTTTTTTCCAATTCCTTGCATTGATTTGCCAAATCAACTTTTGTGGAATAAAGATAGTCTTTCAGCTGTTGGATCTATGGTTACAGACGTGAATACAGAATGACATTGTGCCAAAAATCAATAACATAGTGTTTGAACATCTTTCTGTCATTTGTGTCAATAAATGAGAAAATGAAGACAAATATGTTTCAATAATGTAAATCCAACTTGAAATTTAATCTTAATAATATAAAGAGCAATGGGTTAATATTTTAAATTATTTTCAATATATATAAGAAAGCCTTAGTTAGTCTTACTAAAAACTGTCACAAGCAGTGCATACCACTTAGAGTAATTATTAATAATTAGATATTATTAGTGTAATAATAATTTATAGTAAAATACTTTACATTTTCTTACTATTGGATCAGGAAACTTCCCTCATTCTCAAGTGCTGATTTTTCTGGACTCCTCTTCTTGGGTTTACATCCACATGGTCAAGAAACTTTTTTTACTGAAATCTCTCAAAGAGTGAACTGAGTTACTGTTTGTGAAGAGCTGGAGTTTAATTCATTGAAGTATGGTTTGTGTTATTCTTAAAGGACTGGCAGTGCTTATTTTGTCAAGCAAAAAAGGAGACTCAACTTGTGTTGTTTTCAACTTCTTAGTGACTTCATTATTTTCCCAGTTGTGCTAACTGGATGTTTCAACACCCATTCTTCACCCCCAAACCCAGTGAGCCAAAAAGACCACCACATTAAGGTCTAAGCAACTTCATTTTAAATGTCAAAGGGCAGACTTTTTTTTTTTTTCTTTTGTCATGAAGAATATCTGCTGTATCCATAGACTCTGAAAACTAAGCTCAGCAGAAGAACAGGACCGCTTTGCTCGCTGGACTAAAAATTAACTGGCATTGTCAAAACAAGTGAAGATAAATGGATGAATTAACTTTCCAGTTTTGAAATGAAAATGGGAATCTATCTCACACCATGGTGTCAGGACTTCAGTAAGATGCAGGACTAGAATGCACATTGGCATTTTTGCTTTTTAATGATGACTCTAAAGTCACCTGAGTTTGATCCATCTTGTAGAGGGAATGTTGTACTCTATGTTGTGCAGATTAGTTGTCGGGAGATTCTGAGTGTGTTTGCCATTACCAGTACTGTGGTCCGTTGAAGCTGTCTCTGCACTCTGCACTGCCTAGGTAAGCAGAGTCAGGCGACAGGAGATAAACAAAGTTGAGAAGAAGTGGAAAAACTAACAGAGTTTGGATGGATATGGTAGTGGGACAATAATGCCCTGAGAAAGGAGTTGCTGTGTTTTTATGCAGCAGTACAGCAACATCAATGTATGCAGGATTGTGGTTACATTTCACCTCAAATTTTCAGGCAACCACAGATTTTTCTGAAACTTGAAGGTAGAGCTCAGTGTGTTAAAATAACATACCTTATGCTCATAGTGCAGCTTATTAAGTGAGGCATTAAAAAGGTTTCTTCACTGAGTGGGGAAGCAGTGGGGCTTAGGAAAGAAAAACAGTCTGAAAGCCAAGGCACTCTTGCAGTTTAATCCTGTAGTGTAAAAAAAAAAACAAAAACAACAAAAAAAAAAAAAAAAAAAAAAAAAAAAAAAAAAACAAAAAAAAACAAAACAAAAAAAAAAAAAAAAAAAAAAAACCACAAAAAAATCAACCAACAAACAAAAAAAAACAACAACAAAAAACCCCACAACAACAGAAAATCCCCAAAATCAACAAAACCCCACTCCGGATAATCAATGCCCTGTTGTAACTTAGCCGAACAAAGGTTGCTGAGGAGCTGTCTCACTGAGGAGCTGTCTCATGCCTCTGGAACTGGCTTTGAACCTTGGCAAATGTTCTCATGCCTGTAAAGCCAAAGTGTGGGACTTACATCTTAAAACTTTATAAAATGAGTGCAACTGTAGTAAAAAGATAAATACACATTTGACTTGTTTCTTCTCTACTCTCTAAGCAAAAAGAGCTTTGGCTTCTTGTCTAACTGAACTTAAGTGTTCCTTAGACTAATGTTTGCAACTCAGACAGAGATCTACTGTGCTAATTAGAAAACGTTGCAGAAAACCCACCTGACTAGGAAAGATAATGAAATGCATTTGCTAATCCTGTTCCTCCAGATGAGTACAACCCACCACTTTAACAACTTGAGTTGAACAATTAGCATAAAATAGATTTCTACCTTTTTTAAATTATTTTTTGCCTTATCATTAAAAAAGAGTTAAAAAGAGCCTGTTTGTGGCAGCTAATATTCCTGTTATATAAATACTAAGTTAAAGGCAGCACAAGTTCTCATAGCTCAAGTAGTGTTACTGTGTTTATTAACTTTCCCTCTCAGTGAAATGTGTAGGTACAAAGTAATCTTTATCATCTAGTCATTATCTCTGTTCTGTGAATGAGAGGAGAGAAAAGCTGTCAGAAGGAACATGGATTATTGAATAGTCCCCAAATAACAAAGGAAGTAGTAGTACAGGATGTGAGGGGTAAGTTGAGACCACAGTCATTCTGGTTAAAACGTCATGGGTGATTCTTTGCTATGCTATAAGCTATACAGCTTTGTGACCCTTTCTGTTGCTAGGGAAAGCAGACCTTAGTTGGTGTTTACTGTCTTTTGCAGGCTCTGACATGGATTAGCAACAGACTGGTTAGTCTGTTATTTGATGAGCATAGGGATCTTGGTGGCTTGCTCATACTTGTCTTTGGAGTAATTAGCTGATTTTTCTTAGGCAGCACAATTGTGTGCAGCTGGAAGTGGGATCAACATGTTGGTAGAGATCTCTCTGTGCTTAGTGTTTGGTCTTGGTGACCGGAGATACAAATGTATGTGAAGGATTGGGGGGGAGGGGGGGTTTTGCGGTTTGTTTGTTTTGTTTTTGTTTTTGCCATTAAACCAGATTCATAACATTTGAATGGAGATGGCAGATTAATTTCTGGGTTTTTTGTCTTCCTCCAAAGCTTTGATTCTTTAGTGGCAAAAATCTGTGAAGTACTCAGATACTCAGATTGAAACATGGATAATGAGGAATTCTGTACTGTTGATAATTCACTGTTAAGTGATGAGGCTATAAACCGGGGTGGTACACTTCTGGCATTAGAGGGCATCATGGGCTTAGTCTACTTTCATTCTTGTTCAGTGTAAGACAGAGGTAGGCCTGTTTTTGGTGAGTATGGAGTACTTGGATTTGCAGTCCTGGAGTGCAGTATCTGTTAAAAACAGTCCCAAGGCATCTGAGATGTGTCAGGTTTGTCATCCAGAAGTCAGGATAACCAAACCAGGGTTTTTTGCCCTAGGAAATGTGTTTTTCATTTGGAATTTTTTTAAAGTCTATTTTACATTTACTTACTTGCTTAGAGAAGTGAAGTAGCTATCCATGCATTTAGCCCAGTATTTTGCAAATTAAGATGTACTGCCTGTTCTTATATGCCTGGCATCTGAAATTAGACCTTAAGGCTGAGGGCTCTTGAATAAATATTTTCAAAATAAGTAGGTTGTTTGCCTGACTCTACTTACTATTTAAAAACAATAGTCTTCTGTGATATGTTTCCATCCCAGTCCTTTTTGAATAGGTCCTGGTGACAGCCTGACCTAGTAATATTACAATAGAGATATAATGAAGATATAGCAAAAGAACCATAAAAATAGCTGTATTATATGATAATATAAAGGGGGCTTGAAGTGTCTGGTCTTTTGTTTTAGTGTAGATAAGAGCTTCCTTTCTCCTCTTGCCCTGCAAGCAGGGGATGTGGCCATGTAATTCTCTGGCTGCTCTGAGCCCAGTTTTTCTGATAAGGCTTCATCAGAAAGGGTACTGCTTTCAAGGACACAGCCTTAATTCCCTGGTATCTTTGAAGAAGGCTGAATTTTGCACCAGGGAGATGTATGAGGCACCTTTTTTTCTTTTTTTTTTTTGTTTTGTTTTTGTGTTCATGTACTCAGGCAAAGAGAGCACCCTTCAGAAACAACTGCTGGTCTGCTGCATGTTAAACCATCCCTGTTGCTTGGGATCGCCAGACCTTCCCACCATCAAATAGCCTGTAATATCAGAAACAAAATTTTCCTCTCTTTAAGCACAGGAGGGAAAGTCCTCCTATCCTAGGTGCTCTTAAGTTATCAACTCCTAAGGAAGTATGAAGGTGC